GTCACTGGCTGGTTCGTTATACTTTACTTGGAAAACATATATAGAATCAAAGATGCGGTCAGGTGTGAGACATTTAAAAAAATTTAAGTTCTGCAAATATTCCCATGTTTAATTTGGAAATTCTATTCGCAAATATGGGTTTTTTAGTAATTCATCATCAGGCCAGTACAATTACAGGTATCAGAAGAAGATGTGATCACTGGAACAAGAGTTTTATTGTCCTGAGGTTCCGGATTCCGTCGGGGATCCTTAATCATAGGTGATGGTAGCATAGTCATTGCAGGCATAATGAAAATCGTACAGGTGAGCAGAGTTGATAAGTGGACTGTGATTTCAAATCATCGTTTTCACACCGCCCGCATGACGATATCGGCGTTTAGAGGTCCTTCCGCAGGGGGAAGGGGGAAGAGAGGAAATTAGAATAGGTTATGAGCATTGGTCATGGGTCTGGAACGTGGCGTGAAAATTACTATTATTTGCACGGAGAAATTGTCTACCAGTCTTCCAGGTTGTCTACCAGACAGCAGTCAACTTCTCCGAGGGCCCACACAAATGCCAACGCCAGGTGGCGATCCCATTTCGCCCCCACCACCTAGTGACATTTGTTCACTCCGCGCAGATGATAGTAATTTTCACGCCACGTACCTGACTCATGACCAATGCTCACAACCTATCCTAATTTCCTCCCTTCCCCCTTCCCCCAGCGCAGGGACCCCTACACGCCGATCTCGCCATGCGGGCAGCGTGAAAACGGTGAGTTGTGATCAAAGTACACTTATCAACCCTGTCCAACTGTACGATTTTCGTTATCCCTGCAATTGTACTGGCCTGATGATGAATTGCCAAAAAACTCATGTTTGTCAAATAAACTTTCCAATTTTTAAAGTTACAATGGCTGCCCATGTAGACTTCATTATTCTCTGCAAGTCCACTTATTACCATTGTCTTTTGATGCCTGAAGATATACATTTTTCCTTATCTGCTCGTCTGCAGAAGTACGCCTTTTATATTAAACGATCCTCTCCATTGATAATCTCATCGAATCCTCTCTCACCCCAGATGGCCGACATAGAGCCCGCTTCTTTCGTCGACCTCTATTTTTAGCCTGACGTTTGCTCATTTGTCTACATATATATTTCCTGTTTGCCTTAATGAACTCATAAACTGTATGAAGATACGTCTTGCGACCTTTCAGATATCCAAAACTTCCATATAGGGATGAAAAGAAAGGTGTTTTTGTATGGATACTGTTTTCAACGTCTCAACACCCTCATTCCTTTAAAATGTTACGCCACCTTGCTCCCTTTTTCTACTCCTATCTAGAATTGTCAGGAGATTTCAAAATGGTCCGACGCTCTTTGCAAAGAACTTCGTCCACAGATTGTCGGCGCTGCCATCTGTGGACTGCAG